TTGCCAGGATAGCGGTTGCGGCGGTTTTGTAGTGAATGCAACCTTACAGTGAGCGACGAAGTGACCCTAAGGGAATCAACTATCGCAAGGCTTGTATTTATAAATGGGGCTTTCGTGTCGGAGCAGGCCGAGCGGTAAGAACCCTGGGAAGGCACGGTGGGCCAGGGATAAATATGGTAAAATCAAAAGGGCTGCTTAGGACTTAAAACAAAGTTAAGGGACTAAAATAAAATAAAAACTGAACCCTTAAGATAAATAAAAAAAATTACCTTTAACATTAAAACACTGAAGGTTTTTTTAAACACTGGGCTTCCCCATTTTCCTTTACACTGCCCTCATTTTCTGTGATGGCATATGTTAACTGTGTACTTGTGACACCTAGGAACGTGAAAGCAAACATAAAAAGGAGCCTGGGCACAACTCCTTATGAAGAAAAAAAAGTAACACAAAAGAACTAAAACATATTAAAATATTTACTAATAGATCGGCTTTGATAATATATAACAGTTGTACATCGGTAATAGTGAAATTTCTAAAAAGCAAAACACAAGACTTAACTGTACAATGTTACACTGGTGTTCCGCAGCGAGCTGAATATATATTTGCCACTACGAGTAATAGTAAAAAAAGGGGGTGCCTTCGTCTTATTGGTTGAAAAAAAAGTAGAGAAAAGAAACTAAGCATGGTCTGACAGGCCCTTAACAAGGTAGTTTTGGGGGTTCATCTTGATTGTATACGAATAAAAAAAATAAAATATGAATATTGAATATAAAAAGAACTGAACATAAAATACAAAGATAAAATTATCTTCACAGTAAAAGTTGAGAAGGTAAAAAAAAAAAAAAAAACATTAACTGAAAGCGTTAAAATAAAGATTTTTATCTCGCCTTAATTAGGGATACTTGGCGGGAAGGGTGAAACAAGGTCGTTTACCCTGAGGTGCCCCGTAAACAGCTGGGGATGCTTTTAAAGGCGTATGGTAATGTTTATTATTAATTTACAATTAAAATTAGATACGGTTCACTACAGTTTCGCACTGAGGTGCAACATTCAGTAGCGAAGAGGGTCAATCGTCTTCAGAAGCTGAAATATAAGTACCGGGCCAGTAAAAGGACTAAGGTGGAGGATAATAATGTGTTTGTCAATCACCAAAGTTGCAAGAAAAGTGAGAGAAAAATAAAAACAATTTGTCATAACAGTAACGTGTCAAGTAAGTGGGTGTTAATTACTTGGATTTGTCAGGATTAGTAAGTTTAGTTAAATACCATCATATTCAAGAGAGAAAAATTAATGGGAGAAGAATTCCATATCTTTGGACTAAATAGGCAAGTATATATGCTTCGAGCACATAGGCAGCTGAGCCTGAACGGGCACAGGATTCCTTCGTTTACGGCCATGGGCCGGTCATAAAATCAACTTACGGTGATAATAAATATGTAAGCCTATATCAGTCGTATGAGCGTAAGTAACTTCTCGGTACGGCGGGCGCAGGATTCATTCGTTTACGGCCATGAGCCGGCCTTAAAATTAACTTACGGTGATAACTATGTAAGCCTTTATGAAGTCTGTAGTGCGTTACCAGTGTTACAATTATTTGCAACAGAAGAGACTACCATCAGTCAGATACAGGTTACATATTCACCAATTCCTTAAACTAAAGAAGCATTAATTCTAGCATAGATGAGGATAAGATATGGAACTTCGAGAGGATCATGTGTGAAAAAGCGAACGATTAGCATGGGAAATATGTGAAGATATAGGAAATTGTGAAAGAGAACGATATACACACATTTGTTGAGGAAGTATTAACGAAGCACTTACTAGGAGGGTACAGTGTGCAGGTGAAAACAATATTACAACGAAAATCGTAGCGGAAAATATGAATAACATAACAGGGAAAAAACGAACATATTAATACAGTTATTTGTTCTGGGAGAAAATAAAATATAATGAACTGCAGTGTGAGGACAGCAATAATAAACATTAGGTAAAATACCAACAACAAAAAAATATCATAGTATGGTTAGGGAAGGGGAATAAGGTGTGAGGTGTGGGTGTGTGTCACTTAAGTTTGATCACAGGCGTGAGTGGTCCGCACGAAGTAGTAGAGTAGACATGGTGTGGGTAGGCGCGATTTAAGAAGATTTAGTAGCGAAGGCTGGGCGTTAAAAGAGGCGAGGAGGTACTTGGACAGGAGTAGCTTGTGGGCAGATAGCGTGGATCGGCAACAGGTGTCGGCGAGGAGCGTGGAGGTAGATGAATTACCGTCGGCGTTGTGAGGCTCTTGATCACCGCTGCCATCAGATGTAAGCGTTAGAGAGATGGTGAGAGCACCGCTGTCACCAGATGTAAGCGTAAGAGTCCACCGCAAGCCACCAGATGTAACGAGTGACCACAACAAACCACCAAAGAGTGACTAAGCCACCAGATGTAAGTGTAAGAGAGATGCTTTTGGGCGGTCAATGAAATGGATCTTAGCTTGTTGGTTTATTGTTGAAGA